GGAATTCTGGGAGTTGAAGTCCACATGCCTTAAAATTGTCAGGGTTGAGAAACACTGTTCTAGAGCAGGGGTGTCAAACTGCTGGCCCGCGGGCCGGACGCGTCACGACGAAACCGCGCCCACCCCATTGCCGGCCATGGGTGAAAAAGTTCCGATACGTCGCGCGACATCATGTGACGTTGCGAGTTTGACATGTCTGTTCTAGAGCATTGGCTAATTCATTTGATAGATGACGCTTTTTACATCTACAGTGTCCTCAACCTACGACCACAATTGAGCCCAAAATTTCTGCCGCTAAGCGAGACAGCTAAATGAATTTGGCCCCATTTTACAATCGTTCTTGCTAGAGTTCTTAAGTGAATCACTTGCAGTTTTTAAGTTAGTAACACGGTGGTTAAGTAAATCTGACTTTGCTTGTCAGAAGGTCGCTAAAGGGGATCACATGACCCCGGGACACGGCAACCGTCCTAAATACGGGTCAGTTGCCAAGCATCTGACTTTTGATCACGTGACCACGATGCCACAATGGTCGTAAGTGTGAAAAGCAGTCATAAATCACTTGCAACTTTGAACGGCCACTAGCTGAACTGTTGTTGTAAGTCGAGGACTGCCTGTATTGTTCGTTGGCTGAAGGAGCCCGCACCTTCTCTTTTGGCTGATAGGCTCTTTCTTTCAATTCCAGATGTTTGCATCCCGGTTTACAGCTTATTTCAGACGGAAATGCGTGGCTATAACTGATGAACGCGTCCAGAAAATGAATGAAGTGCTCAACTACGTTAAATTCATCAAAATGTATGCTTGGGTGAAAGCTTTCTCTCAGACCGTTCAAAGTGAGTTTTCTATTTCTTTACTGTCTTGTGCACAAGCCTCCCTTTGGCTTCCTCTCTGCCAGAGAAGCGGCCGGAGTATATAAAGAGTCTGTACTCTACTGCTGCTGCAGTTTGTCTGAAAGTTGAATCACGGCGACTGGATTTATTTTCTGGCTGGCTTGAGACGTTTTCACTGGCCATCCAAGCAGCTTTTTCGGTCTCAGCAAGTTGGCTAGGAGAATCTGAGTGAGCCAGGAATTGTTGGAATGTAAGCCAGCTCCTAAAATTCCTAGGAATATTTCTTCACCAATCCCATGGTTT